GCATGGAATGATATCCGAAAAGCTGTGGAAACAGCAGTGATATCTGCTAGTAAGATAAACCAGAAGGTTAGGGAGCAACACTGGATCTCAGCAGCATCTATCTCACTGATAGATGCTCGGAAACTCATTCCACCTGGCTCTGAACATAGTGAAGAGCGGAGTCAGCTTAAGCGCAAGCTGACCAGAAGCCTACGCAATGATCGCGAACAGAGGTGGGTGGCGAAAGCAAGAGAGATGGAAAAGGCAGCGGCAATAGGTAATAGCAGACAATTGTTCAGACTCGTTAAAGAAACCGGAATAAGGAACCCGACCGTTAGCGAAACAATCTCAGCGAAAGATGGACATATTATTCATTCTCAATCCAGGAGATTGGATCGATGGGCAGAACACTTTAGGGATCAGTTCAACTGGCCTTCAGCCACACTTCGGTTTCCCACGATCTCTAGTCAACCTGAATGGCAAGTTAATGTAGGTCCTCCGACTTTTTACGAAGTTGAAAAAGCCATAGGAAATCTGAAACGAGGGAGAGCAGCAGGCCCTGACAGGTTTACTCCTGAGATTTTTAAGGATGGTGGTCCAGTATTAGCAATGAGATTAACCGAGGTCTTAGGTAGAATTTGGGAACTGGACGTAATCCCATCTGACTGGTCTCAATCACTGATTGTGCCAGTTTTTAAGAAAGGACAAAAGTCATCTTGTGACAATCACAGAGGAACCAGTTTGACTAATATAGTGTCTAAAATATTAGCTTCAATAATACTTCGACGCCTAATCAAAGCTCGTGAAGAGCAGACTAGAGAAAATCAGGCTGGTTTCCGACCTGGACGTGGTTGTATAGATCAGATATTCACACTACGTCAGGTTCTAGAACACAGACACACATTCAGACGCCCCACAATGGTAGTATTTCTCGACCTTAAGGCGGCATTTGACTCTGTTGATCGTGAGGTTCTATGGCAGTGTTTGTCACTGAAAGGAGTACCAAAGAAGTACATTAACCTTATAAAGGCTCTCTACTCGAACAAAACTGGTAGAGTGAGAGCTTATGGCGAACTGTCATCAGAATTGATTACCTCAAGTGGTGTTCGTCAGGGCTGTACACTCTCCCCATTCTTGTTCAACTTTGTGGTCGACGTACTTTTAGAGATAACACTCTCCTCATCTAAATTTCCAGGGGTTGAACTTCTACCGGGAGGTTCACTTGTTGACTTAGAATATGCCGATGACATAGTTTTATTTGGTGAAGACGCTGACAAAATGCAGAGTCTACTAACCACTCTAAGCAACAATGCAAGCATGTTCGGGATGCGATTCGCCCCCTCGAAATGCAAAATGTTGCTTCAGGATTGGGTTGCATCGATACCCGAACTAGTGATAGGGAGTGAAGTAGTTGAGTGTGTCGACCGCTTCACTTATCTTGGAAGTCTCATCAGCCCTTGTGGTCTGGTGTCTGACGAAATCTCAGCACGGATACAGAAGGCTCGACTAGCTTTTGCCAACTTGCGTCATTTATGGCGTAGGCGAGATATCCGTCTATCAACCAAAGGACGTGTTTACTGCGCAGCAGTTCGTTCCGTCCTACTTTATGGCAGTGAAACATGGCCGGTAAGAGTAGAGGATATCCGTAGGTTACTAGTATTTGATCATAGGTGTCTTCGAAACATTGCTCGTATATCATGGGACCATCGAGTAAGTAACACAGTTGTTAGGAAACGGGTACTAGGTAAGGATGGCAAATCAATTGATGAAGTAGTGAAACTTCATCAGTTGAGATGGCTGGGACACGTGTTACGTATGCCCAACGACCGACTGCCTCGACGAGCGATGTTTAATGGTATAGGAGTAGGTTGGAAGAAAGCTAGGGGCGGCCAAACCAAAACATGGCATAAGTCCATGAAGTCACTGACAAGTGAACTGAGTCATGTTGGTAGGTGTAGACTACCTGGTTGGGGACCGCGAGATGATAGCAACCGATGGTTAGAGACCCTGAATGACATGGCTCAAAATCGTTTGCAATGGCGCAGGTGCATACACTCTCTGTGTTCTCTCAAATTCTAATCTTCTGAATTCTTCATGTCCCTTTTTTCCTCTTTCCAAATTTATTTCACTGGATTATACTCTTTAAATAACATCTCCAAACCCTAATCTTCCCGATTACTGCTTATACTCTTATTACCTCTACCACTATGGGATTTGAATCGACAACTGCATCTCTGTGCTAATGTGGTGTGGCAACTCGAACTGATGTACGTACGTACGAAGTTCTACGTTGTTACTGACTGACTGACTGCATTTATTATGAATGAATCAATGATCAGCGCAGTTCTTCCGAATTCGAGTTATTTGTGGCAAAAGCAATCAATCAATCGATGAATAAAGAAGCCCATTTAAAAGCTGAATGTTATAATTATACCCCACAATAAATTTAATGTTCGCTAATTGTAGATAAGCGATAAGATGATTTCAATTTAGTAATTAACCTTTATAAAACACTAGTATTTGAACGAATATTCTTTTCGATAAATTCTCTTCAGGTTCTACAATTCATATATCCAAATTAATAATCCGAAAAAATGGCCAGGTTAAGGGCAAAGTACATCGTTTAAAACATGTGAATTTGGGATGGTGATAAACAAAATACAATAAAATGTTAATAGAACTCATAGAATGTTAACTTGAATCTGCGTATATGTTAAATGAAATTTTAAGATCCATGATCAGAATAAATATGGGTTCATTCGCATTCATCCCTCCGTATTACGTCTTATTTGATCAAATTGTAATTGCACTATTATTTCTCTCTCACCCTATTTGACTCATATTTATTCTGATCATGGATCTTAAAATTTTACTTAACATATAAGCTGATTCAAGTTTACGTTCTATATGAGTCATATTAACATTAACAATTTTATTGTATTTTGTTTATCACAATCCTAAATTCACATGCTCTAAACGATGTACTTTGCCCTTAACCTGGCCATTTTTCGGATTATTAATTTGGATATATGAATTGTAGAATCTGAAGAGAATTTATCGAAAAGAATATTCTTCGTTCAAATACTAGTCTTTATAAAACACTTATTAAATGAGACAACGAATGTTTGACTAGGCTCATAATTTTAATTCAAACTACGGCAATACGTAATAAATAGATCATATTGTTTTTTTATCAAAGCAGTAATTATGTTGCCTGAATGTTATTCTTTCCGAAATGCTTTTGATGATTGGTTTGATTAATTAATACAATATACTAGAGATAATTTTAATAATTAAGTTACTTGAGAAAATGGTCAGTATTTCATGCGAATATGTATGGGAATCAAACATGTACAGTTAATAAGTAACTTGCCAAATTTAATTTACTGATACAGTCAGTCAGCTACAACGTAGGACCACGCACATATATGCATCGGTCCAGGTTGCCATACCGCATTAGCACAGCAAGATGAACACCGGATTCATAGGAGTGGTTAGGTCAAAGGTGGTAATATATAGGAGAAAGATTGCATATAAGGATATAGTACACGAAGAAAGAATTAGTTCGTAGAAAGAAAGATATGAAGTAATTTTAATCTATTAGTTTAAGGGAAGACAGAGAGTGTATACACCGACGCCATTGTGATCGATTCCGAGCCATGTCACCAAGAGTCTCCAACCATTGGTTACGATAGTCACGCGAACCCCAACCAAGTAGTCTGCATCTACCAACATGGCTCAGACCTGAAGTTAGTGATTCCAAACACTGATGCACGTTTTGGTTTGGCCGCCCCTAACTTTCTTCCAATCATCCCCAACATCGATTAGCATTGCACATCGTGGTAATCGGTGCTCAGGCATACGCAATAGGTGGCTTAACCATCTCAGTCGATGAAGATTCACAAACTCATCAACTGATTTACCATCATCCCATAATACCCTGCGTCTAACCTCACTATTACTTACCTGGTGATCCCAGCAGACGCCAGCAATATTTCTAAGGCATCTGTGGTCAAATACTAGTAGCTTACGAGTGTCTTCTACTCTTAGTGGCCATGTTTCGCACCCGTAAATTAAGACAGAACGGACTGTCGCGCAGTATACTCGTCCTTTTATTGATAGACGGATATCTCGCCTCCGCCATAGGTGACGTAAGTTGGCAAAAACCAAACGAGCTTTTCGAATCCGTGGTGATACACAAATGACTTGTTCATACCACTTGTTTTATAGCACCATCTCTTGACCCTTCAATGTATCTATTACTAAGAATTTTGTAGGCGATGATGACCTTTCTACACAACTTTTTATGATTATGGAAAAGAATCGAAAAGAAATCTTCGATGTGAATATATTCCTATTCAGATTAAAACGATTATGCAGCAATATTTCTCCATTACTAACAGTGAAAAAACTTATAATAAGCCTTGAGAAACTAACAAGCTGATTGAAACCACTACACTCTGGAAGGTTTTATTAGTTCTATTGGTTAATGCATCACAAAGTCATTCAAATATTGTTACTGGCTTGTCGCTATATTACAGTTACACTACGTCCACTATACATTTATCTGAAATATTATTCATTACAATGAATGATACTCTTTTTCTTGCAATGAAACACCATTTAAATGAAGAATAGATATATACTTAATAAAATATAAGGAAGTTTAGAAAACTGTCAAGTATAATTCACAAAACTGTTGCCCCTCTCGCTATATATCACAATGAACAAAAGAATAGTATTACAGACGTCATAAAGTAATGTATCTCAAAGCAGAATCAAAGAATTTATAGTTCATTACTGAGATTATGATCAGTTTTTATGTTGAATACTTAAATGATCATTGTTACATGTAAAACTGTTGGGATTGCTCATAAACATTTTGCACTATAAACGCAGATCAATCCCCATAGGATTATTATTTTGAATCTTTTTTCTGTGTAAAGTGAAATACAATCATGTACGCATCGAAATAATAGTCAGAATAAATTAGTAATATAGTGAAATCATGGACAAATTACCTTATTTACAAGTGCAATAATCATATTAATACGAGAAATCAATTGATGATATTGTCCACGAAATTCTGCAACCTGTTTACGAAGAAATAAAATAAGATGGTTCTGATAAAAGTAATCTATTGAAACAGACAACACTGAAGCAAATTTAACAGAGTTAAATAAATTTAAAACAATAGTTAGTTGTAAGTTATTGAAAGAGCTGGGTATGGAATTTCTCAGTTTTTGTCGTTAAATCAGTAGGACAAAACAAATTATGTAACCTAACGAAAACTATTAACATTTCAGAGACTTGTACTAATGATTTTCAATATTATGATAAGATTCCATATGTGATTGATTTGGACAGAGATCAACTCCTTATGGAACCATAACAAATGTACTGGGGTAAAATAAATTTTTCATGGTATTAAAAACGTCTAAAGAATAGTAACGGTAAGTAAATTACAGCTCATTCGACATCGACACTGAATGTTAGTATTAGCAGACACTACAAACTGAAAGCAATTAGTTGATCCACGTGACCATATCTCTGTGCAATTCACATAAGACGCTTATCTTGCTCCTCTGAATAAATAACTAATTGGTTTTACTTTCATCTATCTCTGTACATGAATATACACATTGTTTTTTCTGATCACCATCATCTCCCACATCTGTTTCCTTATTAAACTAATTAAAAAATGTCAGTATCGACACCGTCCAATTCTGTCGTGCCAAGACATCTCTAAATTGATGAATAAATAAATGGAAATCATGCGAACTCAAGAAATCAAAATGTTTTTGATGATGAGCGAAGTTTATCAATGGAGAAATAGAATATGACTAGATTTACTATACATATTTACCAAACCATGAAATACTCAAATTACGTTTATTTAAATAACACCAAACATCGAGTTCCAGTATATCCCATAAACTGGTGTATTTTGTTCTTTTCTAATCAGACTGGCGAGACTATTGCAGTATTATTTTAATAGGTGAATTCATGGGTCAATCTAGGCTAAACTACCACCGAAAACATGGAAGGACTGGATGTCCGTTGCCTCTAAGTATGGGACTCACCAGCAGTGCGCACCCATGACCTCACACGTGGGACTCGAACCCAAGATCTTTGGTCACGCGCGCAAACCACCGAGCCGGCGCTCAACGGTGTTAATGTCTAGCTCCAATCAAGCAATGATTATTATTGTCGAAAAAGTCTCCAAAAATTTTAGGAACTCAAAGTTTATATACAATCTTTGATTTCTAGAAATCAAATAATCATAAATAAGAGCTTTAATTATATTATTAACTACTGGGTTGTTGGAGGCTCAGAATTCAGATGGGTCATGAGAATCGAGAAGTCAGTTGGGAAGTCACTGTCACAGGTATTAGGCTGTAAAATTTACATTCATACTCTACATGAAATTACTGAAATCTTATAATCGAATTGTCTGAGTCGAAACTAAACCTTTCATCGCTTAGTATTATAACCAACTTATCACTAGATACAGATCCGTGTACTTGGTCTCAAACCATGCTTTAGGTGTGAAAATTAGTAATAGTAATCATTTGCCCAAACTGAAGTAGGTGGGCCACAGTTCGAGTCTGTAGTCTATTGGCTGAAAGTTCAATGCTTTAACCACTGATCCATCGCTTACACAAATCAAAATGAAAAAAACATGAGATAAAACAAAATCAAAGTAAAATGACAACCCATTTCCTTTATATCATAACAGTGGAACATGTAAATAAATAAAGGGAAACATATACGGAAAGAATAAGGTTCACAAACAAAATGTAAACAATTCAAAGTACCACTAATCAGCTATAGTGTATGATCAATGAAATAAAAATTAATAATACAATTAACTAGTCGCCAACTCATGCATATTATAACTGTGATGAGTAAAACAATGGTTTTTGCCACCTGTACGACAGTGCAAACAATTCGCGTAGGACTGAAATATCACTTACATTTTTGGTTTTTTAACAGTCTATAATTAAACGATATTACAAAGTTACTTCAGTCTAACAACTAGGTGTTCACTTTTTCTATGTTGACAAAAATAAATCGCTTTAGTTATACAAAACTGACTGGTTTGGGGACAAGTCTAGGGTAGCCCAGACAAACATCCTGGACAAAAAAATGCCAAGATAGTAAAAGTTAGATTTATTAAAATTACAGTCGGTCAGCTACAACGTAGGACCAGACACACATATGCATCGGTCCAAGATGTCATACTTCATTAGCACAAGAAGATGAACGCCAAATTCATAAAAGCAGTTACTCCGATGTTAGCAATATATAGAAAAAAGAGTGCATATAAGGATATAGTCAGTCAGTCAGTCAGTCAGCTACAACGTAGGACCAGGCACATATGTGCATCGGTCCAGGTTGCCATACCGCATTAGCACAGCAAGATGAACACCGGATTCATAGGAGTGGTTAGGTCAAAGGTTGCAATAAGGATATAGTATAGGAAGAAAGAATTAGTTCGTAGAAAGAAAGATATGAAGTAATTTTAATCTATTAGTTTAAGGGAAGACAGGGAGTGTATACACCGACGCCATTGTGATCGATTCCGAGCCATGTCACCAAGAGTCTCCAACCATTGGTTACGAAAGTCACGCGGACCCCAACCAAGTAGTCTGCATCTACCAACATGGCTCAGACCTGAAGTTAGTGATTCCAAACACTGATGCCACGCTTTGGTTTGGCCGCCCCTAACTTTCTTCCAACCATCCCCTACACCGGTTAGCATTGCACGTCGTGGTAATCGGTGTTCAGGCATACGTAATACGTGGCCCAACCATCTCAGTCGATATAAGGATATAATACAGGGAGAAAGAATTAGATCATAGTAAGAAAGTTACAAAGTAATTTTAACCTCACGATTTAAGGAAACTTGAAGAGCGTATACACCTAAGCCATTGTGATCAATTCTGAGCCATGTCACCAAGAGTCTCCAACCATTGGTTACGATAGTCGCACAAACCTCAACCAAGTAGCCTGCATCTGCCAACATGGATCATACCTGAAGTTAGTGAATTTATGGGTTAATGACACGTTTCGGTTTGACTACTCTTAACTTTCTTCCAGCCATCCCCAACACTAGTCAGTATTGTGCGTCGTGGTAATCGGTGTTCAGGCATACGTATAACACGGGTCTCAACCATCTCAGTCGATGAAGATTCACAACCTCACCAACTGATTTATCACCATTTCTTAATACCTTGTGTTTAACCTCACTATTACTTACCATCTGATCCCAGCAGATGCGAGAAATATTTCTCAGGCATTTGTGATCAAATACTAGTAGCTTACGTGCATTTTCTACTTTTAAAGGCCACTTTTCGCACCTGTAAAGTAAAAAAACGAACTGCTGCGTAGTATACTTATCCTTTAATTGATAGACGGATATCTCTCCTTTGCCATAGGTGACGTAAGTTGGCAGAAACATGTGAAGACTGCTAACGGTTCTGTGAAGAAAAATATTGCACGACAGAAAAAGATGGATTAAAGATTTAAAAGTTACATCTAAGGAGGCAGCCATATTTGAATTTTGTACTGGGAAGAAAACAAGAAGCTTATTATTAGGGGGAAACAATGGAACTAAATTTCATCATGGAACACACACAAGTATGAATAAGTTATTTTGTTAAAAAATTTCTTACTAATTAAATATCACTGAACCATTTATTTTATCTGAAACTGTATTCAGGTAATCATTTAGTGAAAATATCCATTATCTTACCATAGTTTCATCCACAACCATAAACAACTCCACCACATATGGCTGCGATTCACCGGGACGATGGAAAACATGTAATGTATTCAAAATTGACTGGAATTTATAAAGAGAAACAAATCGTAGCAAAGAATGTGAACAACCCTCATTGTAGTGAAAAGATTTACATATCGTCAAGTACACACGGTTGCTTTTAAATCTTTGATGTATCAAATTCCTAGAGATTCTAAAATGCATGTATAGAGGGTTGAGAACAATCACGGTAAATCGTTACCTTTTATTTTCAAACCAATAAAAACTGACTGTACCGATTGCCATTTGAATAAATATACCAGGGAAATATGCTTTTTTAATGAGCATACTATTGCATAGTTGTTTTAACTAAATGATATCTCTTAAATATATTTTATGAAAGTGACGTTACATCTACCATGGGAAAGTTTTATACTTTCAATCCTAACGTAACTATTTCAAGTAAAATACTTTGATCTCTTGTAGGCGCAATCTATCACGATTATGCACTATTCAGTTTTCTGATCACATCATATTATTGACATTTATAGAAATTCATCTACTTCATTCAGTAGTGTATACTACAATGCTCTAAAATAATTACAATAGTTCATTATTAATAAATTTTGAAATTTAATATTGTTTTATGCTTTTTATTCATTGATGATATTGGTTATTTTTGGACTATTCTTCTACTGTGGTGTGTGCTACTGATGTCGACAGACAGTCAGTCAGCTACAACGTAGGACCACGCACATATATGCATCGGTCCAGGTTGCCATACCGCATTAGCACAGCAAGATGAACACCGGATTCATAGGAGTGGTTAGGTCAAAGGTGGTAATATATAGGAGAAAGATTGCATATAAGGATATAGTACACGAAGAAAGAATTAGTTCGTAGAAAGAAAGATATGAAGTAATTTTAATCTATTAGTTTAAGGGAAGACAGAGAGTGTATACACCGACGCCATTGTGATCGATTCCGAGCCATGTCACCAAGAGTCTCCAACCATTGGTTACGATAGTCACGCGAACCCCAACCAAGTAGTCTGCATCTACCAACATGGCTCAGACCTGAAGTTAGTGATTCCAAACACTGATGCACGTTTTGGTTTGGCCGCCCCTAACTTTCTTCCAATCATCCCCAACATCGATTAGCATTGCACATCGTGGTAATCGGTGCTCAGGCATACGCAATAGGTGGCTTAACCATCTCAGTCGATGAAGATTCACAAACTCATCGACTGATTTACCATCATTCCATAATACCCTGCGTCTAACCTCACTATTACTTACCTGGTGATCCCAGCAGACGCCATCAATATTTCTAAGGCATCTGTGGTCAAATACTAGTAGCTTACGAGTGTCTTCTACTCTTAGTGGCCATGTTTCGCACCCGTAAATTAAAACAGAACGGACTGCCGCGCAGTATACTCGTCCTTTTATTGATAGACGGATATCTCGCCTCCGCCATAGGTGACGTAAGTTGGCAAAAACCAAACGAGCTTTTCGAATCCGTGCTGAGATTTCGTCAGACACCAACTCATTAGGCTTGATCAGACTTCCAAGATAAGTGAAGTTGTCAACGCGTTCGACTACTTCACTCCCTATCCTTAGTTCAGGTGTTGATGCAGACCAGTCCTGAAGTAACAACTTGCATTTAAGGGGGGGAGAAGCGCATTCCAAACATTCTGACATTGTTGCTCGGTGCTATCAAAAGACTGCATTTTATCAGCGTCCTCACCAAACAGGACCATGTCATCTGCGTATTCCAAGTCGATAAGTGGACCTCCTGGTAGGAGATCAATACACGAGAACTCAGTCGACGAGAATGTTATTTCCATCAATAGGTCTATGATGAAGCTAAACAAAAATGGAGAAAGTGGACAGCCTTGACGGACACCACTTGAGGTTGCAAAAGTAGATGACAGTTCGCCGTAAGCTCTGACTCGACTAGTAGTGTTCGAGTAAAGAGCCTTCACAAGGTTTATGTACTTCTGAGGTACGCCTCTCAATGACAGACACTGCAAAAGAATCTCGCGGTCTACAGAGTCAAATGCTGCTTTTAAGTCAAGAAAGACCACCATTGTCGGACGCCGATAAGTATGCCTATGTTCTAGAACCTGACGAATGGTGAATATGTGGTCGATGCAGCCACAACCAGGTATGAAGGCAGCTTGATTCTCTCATGTTTGCAATTCACGAGCCTTAGTTAGGCGTCCGATAATTATCGAGGCTAGTATTTTAGATACTATGTTAGTTAAACTAATCCCTCTATGGTTGTCACAGGATGATTTTAACCCTTTCTTATATATTGGAACGATAAGTGATTGTGACCAGCCAGATGGGATAACGTCTAACTCCCAGATCCTAGCTAAAATATTAGTCAACCTAATCGCTAAAATTGGACCACCATCCTTAAAGACCTCTGGAGCCAATCCATCTGGACCAGCTGCCATTCCTCGTTTCAGACTAACTATAGTCTTTTGAACTTCAGCTAGAGTTGGCGGACCTACTTCAATGTTCCATTCACACTGTCTGGAAATGGAGGGTAGTTGTAGAGTAGCTGAAGGCCAGTTGAACTGTTCTCTGAAATGTTCAGCCCATCGTTCTAAATGTCTGGACTGGGAGCAGATGAGAGTATGGTCTTTATCCGAAATAATTTCACTTACACTTGACTTATTAATTCCAGTTTCTTTTATTAGTCTGTAGAGCAGTCTTGTGTTCCCTATAGTCGCCGCCTTTTCCATCTCTTTTGCTTTCGTTGCCCACCACTGCTCACGGTCGTTTCTTAGACTTTTTCTTAACGCAGATCTGATTTGTTTACGTTCTTCATCATCTTCAGAACCTGTTGGGACGACTTTGCGAGAATCCATCAATGTGATAGACTTTGAAGAAATCCACTGGTTCTTTGTAACTCTGTGGTTTAAGTCGCTAATAGATGTCACTGCTGTTTCCACAGCTGCTTGTATGTCTTTCCAAGCAACATCTGGGTCAGCCTCGTCTTCAGAACTACCTAATTGTGAATTCAGTTGTTCTTGGAACTTATTTTTGGTCTTCTCGTTACTCAACTCAGTTCTAATGGGTCTTTTTAATGTGGCTTTTTTGCATCCAGTGAGGCGTAAGCAGATGCGTGCCCCTATTAGGGCATGGTCGGAGTCCAAGCAGGTACTCCAGAATGAGCGACAATCTTCTACCGACCCTCTCCAACGACGACTGATGGCAATATAGTCTATTTGAGTCCATCGTTGGTTTGGTGTAGGGGGTCGCCATGTTAGACGATGTCTCTCCTTATGCTTAAAATTTGTGTTTGCTAAAAATAAACGATTGTCTGAGCACAGTTGCAGCAGACGATCACCATTATATGTTTTCTGTGCTGGAATACTAAAATATTCACCTAAATGCCTTACTGTTTGGTTTAAACTACCTATCTGGGCATTAAAGTCACCCCCTACGAGTACTATGTCTGAACGTTTAGCTTCCTGAAGAAGTTCGGGCAGCTTTCTGTAAAATTCATCTTTCACTTCATCTAAGCTGCAGTCAGTGGGAGCGTAGGCAGAAACGACGAAAATGCAACGACGTGTTTCTCTATCCTTCCGACTTCTCACGGAGCCGTTTAGCCGAACAGCACATAGACGACTGTTGACGGGGATCCACTCTAGCAGTGCTTGTTCCGCCCTCATGCTCAGTGCTATGCCTACACCTGCCAGTCCACGAGAACTGGCGATCGGGTCACCAGATACACGGAGAGTGTATCTCGTTGGCTCTTCGTTTTGCCGAGGTGAGGTCAAGTGAATGACCACACTGGGATCCTGTATGCGTGTTTCAGAGACACAGCATACATCAATGGTACGAGATTCTAGGGTTTTAGCCAAGGAAGCCTGCTGACCGATTTGACATAGGGTGCGTACGTTGAAGGCTCCAATGTGTAGTTTGGAGCGAGGTTTCAGTAGACCTGGAACAGTGCTTTGAGCACTAGAATCGTTGGCTATGGTGACACTTGACAGGGAAGCCGAAAGAGGAAGTTTAGAGTTGAAAGTCGATGTAGGAGGAATAATAGGAATTGAAGAGTGAGGTTGATTATGAATACAGTGGTCTTGAGTGCTGTTAGAGGCATGAGGGTAGTTATCACTTCCCGGTTGCCCATACCGTGGAAGGGTTGTTCTGGAGGTACCTGAAAAGGAAATTGGATTAGAGGTGGTCTTAGTGACCTGAGAGCGTGACCGCAGTGCCCAAGGGACAACTGCTTGAGGTCGGTCACACATGGCCTTTTTATGGGTAATTTTTGTGTTGGCTCCGCACTTGTTGAGACTTTACCGTCGGAGACGGATATCCATGGGATAAGGCGAGGTGTCCATTCTTAGGGTCGACCTTTTCTAACCCCACCCCTCCTTTTGGGAAGGCAGCATCACTGCCATGCTGGTTTTCTGAAGGAAACACCTTACTGATGTCACACCTCTGTACAGTCAGCAGTACGACTTCGCCTTCCGACCTTGGGTTTGTTGCTTTTAGTCTTACCGCTCTTCAACCGACCTGTCTGACGTGGAAGAACCTTAAGGAACGGTTGTTCCAGCCAGTATAGCTCGGTTGCTTCACCACAATAGGCAAACCCGACCACCACGTCAAGGTAGCAACAACGGTCGGGACTGATGTCGACAGATATAAATAGTATATATTATCAGTTCAAAGTTGAATGCCTCACGGTAGAACGTTGAAAAAATCGAAGAGGAGGGAAATATAACAGAGAGTGATTGGTATGGAAACGAAGGAACAACAAAGTTTGACACAATTGTTGGATGTTTTGCAGATGAAGTCTTACTGTATGGTTGTCAGATTTTACCAAGATATTCCGTAATATTGAGTTAAAACATATTTGGTTGTCCCCACTGGTGTTCTCGTTCACTACAATACTTACTGCCAATGGTAGTTCAACTCAGTTCTCTTCTATCATATTCATATGCTTCAACCGTATTGCTGGTAATGTAGTATGAGAAATGAGATTGATGAATATCTGACTGATCGCATAAATACAATCACCTAATATATATTGATTATATCGTCTATAATCAAATGGCGGAGCAAGCGATTATGTAAGTAAAAACATATGAATATATTATGTTATATTTTTGAACACGTGAGGACTGATTACTTCATATGTTGTACAACATGTGAATTACTTGATAATTATAACCAAATATTAGCGAGTTTTATTTTTTTAAACACACAATACTACACAGATACACCATACATATAAATATTAGAGTACTTACGGTATTTGTCATTGATATAGAGGCTGTAATGAGAAAAGATTTTATGAAGAAACAAAAAGTACACGTTTGATTAGCAACACTTCACTTTAAGTGATAGTAAATTACTTTTAAGTGAGAAAGTAATATTAGCACTTATGAAAAGGTTAAACACTTATGGAAATATCTCATAAACTTATTTTCTCATTATATTATTACAAGGAAGTGATTACTTCTTTTAATTGTTAAATCGTCACAGATAGAAATAAGAGATTCTTGTAACACGTTAAAAAATCAACATTTACTAAGTACAGGTTTATTTAAACTGAGCTTCAATTGCATAAGTTATTAATCGGTTTTTTCAGCACAATCAGATGAAACGGAGTTTGAACTAGGAAACTACTACTGATTGTAAGCTGATCACCACCATAACTTAACTTGCAAATTAGTAGATGAGCTGCGGGTAGACGATAAATAGCTAACAACATAACTGTATTATTCGCCTTGGTCGATCGCCCTAGTCAGTTTGTCCCGAATTATCTGGGAGTAAACTCAGTGAATCGAATAGTCAAAAGACTTACACAATTATTCTTTTATTCTTGTGGTTAAATGTACGTATTTCAGATTTTCTAAGTTATCTCTGAAATTTTACTTCTAGCTATTTATTAATATATATATATATTTCTAACAAGTCTTCTAATTGAAGGCTATATTCGGTTCCTAAGCTCTTCTAGTAACCCCCTGTTGTGGACGTTAGATCCCCAGAACTCACTTAGAAAAGGTCCTAATCTTGCAATTTTATTCTCAAAATTTGGATTTTATGTTTTCGCGCCAAGAGACGCTTAGTTGACCTACAGCTTACATTTCGCGCTCGGAAATCCTTAACTGTCATTGATTGACGGACTTTTTTAGTAAGCTTTTTGTGGCTCTCCCAAGGACGTTTCTATCATTGTATAAATAAGCTTGATTTGTGTGCTTAATGACCTCGTATTTTCTGGGTGCTTGTAGAATACATTCTCTATGTCTCATCAAGACTTCTTGATCTAGTTAGCAGGGCCGGGGACAACGGATTAGAATAGCCTATCGTGTCACTGTATGTTTGACCTTCGTTCCGTTTACCGAGTAAGGTGAACTAGTAATAGCATTCAAGCATATCACCCCCAGGCTAAATCTACACAGCGATCTGAACACGAGATGAAAGGCGCGAAATATGGGAGAAACGCTTTAACCCAAGATTCGTTTATGTATAGAAAATTTAGGGTTTCCACGGTATTTTAGATGACCTTGAGTTTCTGGTATATTCTGAAACGCTACTAAACATATTAGCAGTGTAGGTAATCATCCAATCAGAAACTCGACACGTGAATTTTCATTTTTTTAGATTTTTCTGGCAAAACGTCTATTGAATGCTGATTGAATAAGATGCTTTTCAGAGTTTTCCGAGCCTTTGTTGACTTTTTTCGAGGAGTTTTCTGGATCTCCCGAATATTTTCTTGTTAATTATTCCTTGTAGTTTTGTTTGTGAAACTTGGAATTATTTTAAGTCGTAAGTGGTCTCTGCGAGTTTCCCTTGAGTTCGAAAAAATTACCTTGTATTTTTTCCTTCCACAAACTCATTATGCCTCCTTAAGTTACGTTTTTTATACCCAATCTTTTCTGTTAACACTAATGCTGTTACCGTATGTACTACCCTGGTATCTTACCGCATTACTGAAGTAGTGAGATCTCGAACCAACACACATATATCCCAGATTCTACGTTGCATATGACTAACTGATTTAATTCAGTATTTAAATGTTATGATACTACACATGGTGTATTTGAAGTAACTGTGTTAGCTGATTATTTATAAGCGATAATACCATGGTTTGTAAGATAAATAAATTTTAATATCACAATATGTAAATGATTTTAACGATTGGCAATGAATTCAGATCTTATTTGACTATAAATCTAAGGTAAATAAAAAATTAACTGATCATTATTTATCACGAGTAAAATAAGTCAAAACATATCTTCAATATATGCCACAATCTAAAAATTTGTTATTATCATTATTACTTTGATTGTAAATAGTTTCATAAACAAAGTATAGTAAGGTAGTTTTTCTCAGACATTTTCTCAAATCAACAATATTGTTATGCCCCAGTGTAGTAAACACATAATAAGTGACAATGTTGCATAAATCATGTTACCGATAGAATTAATTACATTTATTAACGTGAAATTATGAATATTGTATACTTAGAGAGATGTAACTCAACAACTTTGTTACAAGTCCTCACATTTTATACACCAATAAATCCAAGTGTATGTGTTCAACTTGGAGTTGTATTGTTTAGGTGACGGCTAGTGTGATAATATTCAGTTGTTGAAATCAAAGTATGTGAAGCGAAATCCAAATATACCACACAACAGATGAAGTTTAAGTAAGATGAACGCTTAGCCGCTGTATGATTAGTCACTACATTATGGACTACACAGCTATTTTATAAGAGTTAATGGTAGCTCACTTCTGTTATTCAAAGCTCATGAGGAACTACTGTAGTGGATCCTACTCATAAGAATGTTTGTAAGTAGTATGTAGCGGGACGTGATGTCGGCGTTGCAACAATTGTCAGACAGAGTGAAGGATTTCAGTGTATCAAAAGCACAGTGTTGGCAGGACATTCGGAGGCCAGTAAAGAGAAAACTCCAGACCGCAGAAAACACCACAAGATCCAGATGGACGACTAAAGGCTACATATATGTATTACGTAAAAACTTCAAGCGGTGGACATACATACATTTTACCTATTGTCTCATTTTACATTACATCGAATAAGGACGTCTAAGCAATATGTTGAACCGTTCAATATGACCATAATATTTATATTCATGACTTGTACTTGATTTTAAAATGTTATTTCACTGATAAAACTTGTCTGCATCTGGCAATACATAAACGGAATTAGTTTCCTCTGAGCTGGATGATATAATCGTAAAGGTTTTATTGTAATTCTAAGCAGCATCAGATAATAAAAGCTTCACGATTGAACAACCGACCTCAGAGAGAACACAATATTTCATAAATCCTTCTTATTCCAAACAACAGATTTTGTAGAGTGAATTAATATTATGAATGGGTGAAAATTAATAGTATCGGTCATATAATTACTCTTGCAAAACTATTGTTATTTCTGTTCATAGATGAATTGAGTCTTTTAAGCATTGAATCCGTGAGGAAATATAAATACATCTTGTAGAAATATACAATTATTTGCTGATACTAGTTACACTATACACTTGATATTATAATCTCCCTATTACAGTGTATTGTTCATTCACTGTTCGTATTTCCTCACGTAGGTAGATTAATCTGACTGGTCTCAATCACTGATTATCCAGTCTATAAGAAAGGACAAAAGTCCTCTTGTGACAATCACAGAAGAACCAGTTTGACTAATATAGTGTCTAAAATATTAGCTTCAATAATACTTCGACGCCTAACTAAAGCTCGTGAAGAATAGACTACAGAAAATCAGGCTGGTTTCCGACCTGGACGTGGCTGTATAGACCAGATATTCACACTACGTCAGGTCCTAGAACATAGACACACATTCAGACGCCCTGCAATCGTAGTATTTCTCGACCTTAAGGTGGCATTTGACTCTGTTGATCGTGAGGTTCTATGGCAGTGTTTGTCACTGAAAGGAGTACCAAAGAAGTACATTAACCTTATAAAGGCTCTCTACTCGAACAAAACTGGTAGAGTGAGAGCTTATGGCGAACTGTCATCAGAATTGATTACCTCAAGTGGTGTTCGTCAGGGCTGTCCACTCTCTCCATTCTTGTTCAACATTGTCGTTGACGTGCTTTTAGAGATAACACTTTCCTCATCTAAATTTCCAGGGGTTGAACTTCTACCAGGAGACTCACTTTTTGACCTAGAATATGCCGATGACATAGTTCTATTTGGTGTCTATTTGGTCTCCTGACCACTATAAGCTGCAAGAGAAGGAAACATGAGAGAACCGTATGACACAACAAAGAAACTCTCTGGAAATCACCGTAAACCAGAACGACCAGTGAAAAGCAAGGAAGGCAAGGTAATCACCAACATTGAACAGCAACGAAGCAGGTGGGTAGAACACTTCAAAGAACTCTTGAACCAACCAGCCCCACTGAGCCCACCCAACATCGAAGCAGCACCCACGGACCTCCCAATCGATGTTGTCTCGCCAACAATTGAAGAGATAAGCATGGCCATCAGGCAAATCAAGAGCGGCAAAGCAGCAGGACCAGACAACATTCCAGCAGAGGCACTAAAAGCAGACGTAGCGGCAACTGCAAGGATACTCCACATTCTCTTCAATAAGATTTGGTCAGTCAGTCAGTAACAACGTAGAACTTCGTACGTACGTACATCAGTTCGAGTTGCCACACCACATTAGCACAGAGATGCAGTTGTCGATTCAAATCCCATAGTGGTAGAGGTAATAAGAGTATAAGCAGTAATCGGGAAGATTAGGGTTTGGAGATGTTATTTAAAGAGTATAATCCAGTGAAATAAATTTGGAAAGAGGAAAAAAGGGACATGAAGAATTCAGAAGATTAGAATTTGAGAGAACACAGAGAGTGTATGCACCTGCGCCATTGCAAACGATTTTGAGCCATGTCATTCAGCGTCTCTAACCATCGGTTGCTATCATCTCGCGGTCCCCAACCAGGTAGTCTACACCTACCAACATGACTCAGTTCACTTGTCAGTGACTTCATGGACTTATGCCATGTTTTGGTTTGGCCGCCCCTAGCTTTCTTCCAACCTACTCCTATACCATTAAACATCGCTCGTCGAGGCAGTCGGTCGTTGGGCATACGTAACACGTGTCCCAGCCATCTCAACTGATGAAGTTTCACTACTTCATCAATTGATTTGCCATCCTTACCTAGTACCCGTTTCCTAACAACTGTGTTACTTACTCGATGGTCCCATGATATACGAGCAATGTTTCGAAGACACCTATGATCAAATACTAGTAACCTACGGATATCCTCTACTCTTACCGGCCATGTTTCACTGCCATAAAGTAGGACGGAACGAACTGCTGCGCAGTAAACACGTCCTTTGGTTGATAGACGGATATCTCGCCTACGCCATAAATGACGCAAGTTGGCAAAAGCTAGTCGAGCCTTCTGTATCCGTGCTGAGATTTCGTCAGACACCAGACCACAAGGGCTGATGAGACTTCCAAGATAAGTGAAGCGGTCGACACACCCAACTACTTCACTCCCTATCACTAGTTCGGGTATCGATGCAACCCAATCCTGAAGCAACATTTTGCATTTCCAGGGAGAGAATCGCATCCCGAACATGCTTGCATTGTTGCTTAGAGTGGTTAGTAGACTCTGCATTTTGTCAGCGTCTTCACCAAATAAAACTATGTCATCGGCATATTCTAAGTCAACAAGTGAACCTCCCGGTAGAAGTTCAACCCCTGGAAATTTAGATGAGGAGAGTGTTATCTCTAAAAGTACGTCGACCACAAAGTTGAACAAGAATGGGGAGAGTGTACAGCCCTGACGAACACCACTTGAGGTAATCAATTCTGATGACAGTTCGCCATAAGCTCTCACTCTACCAGTTGTGTTCGAGTAGAGAGCCTTTATAAGGTTAAGATTTGGGATGAGGAACAAGTACCAAAAGACTGGAAAGAAGGACTCCTGATCAAAATACCGAAGAAAGGCGATCTCAGCAACTGTGATAACTACAGGGGCATCACTCTTCTCTCAATACCGGGAAAAGTCTTCAACAGGGTATTGTTAAACAGAATGAAGGACTGCGTAGACGCCCAACTTCGAGACCAACAGGCAAGATTCCGTAAGGATAGATCGTGTACAAACCAAATCGCAACACTACGGACCATTGTGGAACAATCAATTGAATAGAATTCATCACTCTACATCAACTTCATTGACTACGAAAAGGCATTTGATAGCGTGAACAGAACAACACTATGGAAGCTTCCTCGATACTACGGAGTGCTTCAGAAGATAGTCAACATCATACAGAATTCCTACGATGGATTAAACTGCAAAATCGTGCATGGAGGATAGTTGACAAAGTCGTTCGAAGTAAAGACCGGTGTCAGGGAAGGTTGCTTACTCTCACCCAATGAACGAAAATTTCAGATAATATGAAATTCAGTAAAACCAACAACTTCAGTATTTGTTGTGCATACCAAAAACTCTTGCTATATTTTATTTTATTCATTTTTCGAAATAAGATGAGCCTACGAAGATTGCGTGACGACACAAAATGATGTTAGTATACCAGTAGTGACAGATACAACGTTACAAGATCATATCTATTTACATAAACTAGGTGTATATGTCTAGATCAAAGTCGACAAAACACACGTAATGTCTAGCCTAAAAGCACAAGCCAGCTTTCCAAACTATATAAAACCGATTTATTGTTTTGATTTGTATAAATTTTCATACAATCAAATCCTGTGTTGAGTCAGTTAGAGTAAGAATTCATGCAAACATTAAGTTGTTACTCTCTTATTTTCCCACTTTCATATTTACCATCATTCAATGAATTGGTAGGTTATTAATTGAATGTGTCGACTTTCAAACGGTGGGTTTATTTGTGGGGTGTTCCAACTATGTCTGGGTAACTATGGAGTATCATTACTCTACCTAATTTCACCGTAATTTATGTAAATTAAAGGAAGTTATAAAAACTTGATGAATTGCAAGCTTTTTCGAGTACATAGTATAACTAGTTTTCATAATACCATGAAACAGATAAGCTAAGTTGATTCAGTCTAATTAAAGTCAACTACACAGATAAATGTTGTATTTTATGTTTAGAAATAAGTCAAATAAAAATTCTCTAAGAATAAACTAGAATCAGTAAATGATGACTTACAGCGTTTCACTCTTCTGGCTATGTTGTTGTTACGATAATGTGAATCAAATAATTGAACATTGGTAGATGATGTTGAGTTAATAGTATGATTGAAAGAATGAAATGTCGAATTATTTCTACTTGGTGAAATTTGACTCCATCTTTGAACGTTTGAAGATGCTTCAGTACCGTTTTCGAAGATCGTAACCTTTAAAGGAAAAATAGTGGAGTTGTACGTGGCACCGAATAAATGGCACATAGTAGTAGAGTGAACTGAATTATTGTCGTTTTGTCCTAATTCTTGATTTATGGATTCGATGAGAATAGTAAAACCTGATGGATATATTTCTGAAGATGAAATATTTACATAACCCCTGTAGAGACAAAAAAAACAAACAATTAGTACACATCAAACTAAAATGTGACCGAGTTTTTTTATACAAAATTTCTTTAAAATAATTAACTATTTATTTTTTTATCAAGCTACAAAAATAGATAAAATTGGTTCTACTGATAATAAACACCACTAAAGGACAAGAGACTTAGGACAGATGTAGGTGCAAGTTACAATAATGAATATCTGAATAGGCATCTCTTGAATAAATGTGCAAATATACCTAGCATCGAATTTAAGATGTACTACTGTTGCTTACTCAAGGTATACAAACTAATTGCAAAAAAGGAGCTATATAATATGTCACTTCGGTTTAACCTAGTTATAGTTGAAAATCAGTCCGTCAGCCCCCAAATGCCCTGGCACGACCGAGAATGGAGAACAAATAAATAAATAAATAAATAAATAAATAAATAAATAAATAATAGTGATAATAATAAACAAAAGCACAGTCAGTCATCTACAACGTAGGACCAGGCACATATATGCATCGGTCCAAAATGCCGAACCTTAATAACACAGCAATTCGAACACCAGATTCATAGAACTCAGACTGAATCAGTTCTAATACCTAGTAAACACTAGTCGTCACTAAATGTCCCTATTTTGTCCAAATAAATACTTCTTCAAAAGGAAAGAGTGATTCACGTTAAGAAAATGTACAGTAGAACATTGGCTATGGGACAAAGGTAATCAGATATTCATATTTTAAACGATACCTCAGTAGTAGTAGTAGGAGGAGGAGGAGGAGATACATATACTCAGGTTTCCGTAACAAACCTTATGGTATATTTCATCAAAACTGTTTGCTTTTATGAAGATTATCCTCTTTGTTGTAAAGAATTGGAACAAAATATACAATTCAATCGGTTTATCTCTCATAGGTGCTTAACGCTCTTCAGAAGTGGTTTCTTCAGTAATTTGGGACATAGTCGATAAATTATAGTCAGGTGTTGTAACTTACAAATGAAAAAGCACAAATGCACAAAGCCTGCATTTTCCAGAAATTATTGAAAGATGTAAGATACTAACTAAGCAAGGACTGTCAGTTGCGCTCCTCATGAAGAGAACCTTCACAATTATTCTGAATTTTAATAAATTGAATAAACTCTTAACTAGCACACACTTTAAAATGAGGTTTTGAGGGTTAAATCTACAGTGCTAATTACCATTACTGGAAATGGATTAGTGATATTTACACAGATCGTTCAAAAGTTATCAAAAGACGTACTTTAATTCATTTTCGGAAAGAAAGAAAAACCCATAGACATCATTCTTTGAGGTTTTGCTAGTGAAATTGAGGTCGTCTACTTGTAGGCTGTATCCCGTAACACATAGGAGGTTTTCATTAAACTAAAATGAAATAATATTGGAGGTAAGAGTATTAAATATCCAAAAATTCTGCTTTTTAAAGCTTTATAAGTAAACGTACAGCTATCTAGGCTGGACTTACTGACGAAACACTGAGTAGGGAACTATAAACTTGTAAAAGTTGACTACCTCATGTGACACTTTTCTAGGGAGAAGTCAAAAACAAGTCACAGGTATGAACGGGGATACAGTAGTAAACGTGACGATTCAACGTTACTACTCTAACAATGGATGGACTTACTCCATAGTAAGATTCGATAATTGAATGTATTTTAGGTCATAGTACGGATGGACCACCGTTACCATTGAAGTCTTAGATGTGAGTTTCGTTTAACTTGGAACTCCTCAGGTTATTGCATCTGTACCCCACAACTTATGTCTACACCAAGATCCAGACAGTATATTTCACTTCAAACGCTTCGCTGCTAGCCACAGTCACTACTAAAAACTTTTGAATGCGGCAGTACCGAGGTAATCCGCACAGATGTACATATGCTAAAAAAACTGACTAGTTGCAGTGCCTAATATGTCAACGTACATAGATGCAATTGAAAATTGACTTGTAGTTTTTCAAAATTTTCCCACTTATTTGTCGATAAAATTTGGTTTTTCAATACAAGCATTGTGGAGCTTGGTAAAAATATGAAATGAATCGATTTGGACACGACATTCGAGTCTGAGTTCCCGAGTGAGATTAGACAACATTTGGTAGCTCAATGTATTCACCAAACTTGGAGTCAAGGAAACCGTTTATAACGGCTTTTATTTTAATACTTCTAAATCTCCATGTTGTCATTCAGATAGCAGAGCTGAATGTCAGTTAGTATTCACTATCAGAAGTTATTTCTGCCATTGGAATTACAAATATCTTTGAACATGTGTGACAATGACCAATTTACACCGAGTATCCCGGTACTTAAGGGATAAACTACTTTTCTTCACAACCATGGTTATCTAGGGTCAATTGGATAACCGCATTTGAGTCCTAAGCACAGACCTCTGAAAATATATCACATGTCCATGGGAAGGAATCCTCGAGTTTTGTTGGAGACATATTTTGGAATTTAAGAGCACCGAAATGCAGTTGTAGGAATGCACTTATACTGTTTTGTAAGCTCGAATTTCTAGCACCGATTACAGAATATAAGTGAATGACAAATAAAACCCTCTACTTTTTTGTCAGGACCCTGGTTTTTTCCCACTAAAGAACGTTATACAAACTGGCCTAACAGTTGGGAGTCAAGTTGAGATGAATAAGCTTGTTTTTCTCTATAGATACATATATACACAATCAATATCGGTAGAACAAACAAAGCATCTGCATGTTTTATAATACATGTTCAACAGTATAGAACAGGAACCAATCAGACCTGACTTCCAACCACTTTATTTCTAGATACTTCAATCAAGTATTACATCAGTGCAAATAGCCGAACACATGATTTCAGCACTAACATATATCCTGAGTTAATTTTCCCTTGCAATGTTGATGGCTTTAATTACTCAACGACAGACTCATCAAAGTTTTGTTAATAAGCTATGTTTTTCGAGAACTCTTAGCCAGAGAAAGAGGAGGAGAATGACTGAGTTTGAGTGACGAATACATGTATGAACCACATATTATTGATGTAACTTTTATCACAGTAACCACTGACGTATACGCAACAACCAATATTCAACAGAAAAAGGAGAATTACCTGACCAAATTTATTACCCGTTAACTGATCAAAACCATGACCATAGAGTGGTTGCGAACATTTTTTAAGGGATGTAACCACGTTACTCGAGAATAATCTACACAGGATGACAATATTTCCTGAGCTGACCTAACAGAAACATAATTTAATGAAATGTGAGGATTAACTTCATTATATTTAAATAAACTTGGGTTATTGAAGGTCATCAAATGTATCTGGTCTCCCACATTTATTAAAAGCGCTGTAATTGCCAAATGAGGTTGGCTGAGAGTAACGATTACCTATATTTCCTAAAAACAAACATAGTTGAAATATATGCATTTCAACATCTTCTACTGCCCTCCATAAAAGTGGACGTCCGAATTCTTAAAATCTTATAAGTCCACACTCATGTTAAATCCGTGTCAAGGTGATGACCTAGAGAAGCAATCGACATGTTCAAATTTTAAACCAATCCTAGTTCTTATACTTCAGTCTTCAAATGGTTCAAATGGTTGTGGACAGAATAGAAGAAGCTTCCGCTTAAAGGACTTCCGTGTCTAGTAACAATGGATCACCAATAATTCCAGGCATGAAGCTAGGTACATTAACGATAATAGAGGAAAAAAATTGGTAAATCATAATGAGATGTTATCCTTAGTTCTTAGGAATAGGTCAAGTTTCCTCTTAAAAGACTGCTGGGAAGTCGCTTGGACTAGTTCAGTTGGCAGCGAATTCTGGCATTTGACAACTTTTAATGAGTAGAAATTGTGTCTATAGTCCGTTCTGCTATGCTGTGTCTCCAATTTCTGGATGTTACCCCTTAGGTTTGTATTGGGACTAAGCTTAAGAAGGTGTCTGAAGAGATATCCCGAGGTGTTAAAAATATTGTAAGCCATTGAGTCACCTCTAAGACGCTTATACTCTAATGGGTAACGGTTAAGTGATTTGAGGCGCTCTTCATAAGGTTTGAATTTGAGTCCCGTAACTGGTAAGAATTGAAGTTTTATTGACCTATAACAGTTCTTGAAAGTTTTAATGCTGTGCATGTCCGTTTTTGCTTTCAAGGCATCAAGAGAAGGCACTGAAATCACGTGTTTTGATGGTGAATTCCAGTCATTCACTACTCAATGACAAAAGGAACTACAGGTGTAAAACATTTGATCTGTTTTTTTAACTTTCATAGAATGTCCTCTCAGATGATCATTTCTGGATTCAAAGGAAAGATTGTATATATTACTACCAAAATCATCGTTCACTTCACGATAAGACAATATTAGACCACTCCATAGCCAACAGTTTAATAACGGAATTAGGCTAATGCGTTTCAGTCTTTCTTCATAATGTGCGTCAGAAAAAACTTTAACCCTTTTAACCCCTTTTCATTGAGTTCATTCTACCTTAAACAATGACTCGGTGCTTGAGTCCGATGTTCCAAATGCGGCCTCACAGATGTTGAGTGTAATACCTTAGATATATCTTCCGCCAGGTACTGTAGTGGCTTACAACTAGCTTATAAAGCCCTGAAGATTTTGTCAGCGGTAGCCATTCAGTCACTCATGTTTTCGAGGTTGCTGCTTGTTATGACTCGTAGATCTTTACTGCCCATTAATTTAAGTGACACAACTCCATATATTTAGTGTTGATATGAATCGTCCCAGTTATTTGTTTGCATCATCACAATCTTGATAGAGATAACTTCTAATAACCACCTACATATCCATGTAACCAGTGTAGTCGGGTTATCTTCTAGCGTCATTCTACCTGAAATACTATGCATTTGTCTCCAAATCTATATGTCACCTGCAGAGAGTGGAACGGATGACTTTGCTGCCGTTGATAAGTCATTGACACAAATTAAAAAAGAATAGGACTGAGAATTTCACCTTGAGGAACTCCACGCTTTACAGATTCCTACGCTGACGAAGTCACGCTTCTCCGTAGTCTCTGGTTTCTATCGTCGAAAAAGTCACTTACTAGTTTATGATTTAATAGTGGATCGCGAAACTTACAAGTTTTAGTTTAAGACCCATGTAAGATACCTTGTCAAAGTCTTTGCTTTGAAATATGACGACTTCATCCACCGGAACATTTCTATATTTCGCCACAACAAAATTGTCTCATGCAATGAGCAGATTTGTCAAGCATGATGGGTCCTTGCAAAAGGCACGTTTCTCCTGGATAAAAGATTATGTCCTTCCATATAGTTTAAAGTAACCATCTGAATAATTTTTCCATCAATTTGACAACTACATTTGTTCGACTAACGGGTAGATAGTTACTAAGTCCCTACCCCTGCTTTATGAACCAGACTGGTAATTATGTCTTCCCAGTCTCTTGGCAAAACCTGGAGAAATACAAAAGCCACCGTCCAGAAGATACAGGTGTTTATTAACAGTTGTTTACGCAAAATACTTCGGATCCGTTGGCCGGACACTATTAGCAACAACGTACTGTGGGAGAGAACAAATCAGATCGCAGCAGAGGAGGAAGAAATCAGGAAGAAGCGCTGGAAGTGGATAGGACACACATTGAGGAAAGCACCCAACTGCGTCACAAGACAAGCCCTCACATGGAATCCTGAAGGTCAAAGGAGAAGAGGAAGACCAAAGAACACATTACGCCGAGAATTGGAGATAGACATGAGAAAAATGATCAAGAATTGGATGGAACTAGAAAAGAAGGCCCAGGACAGAGTGGGTTGGAGAATGCTGGTCAGCGGCCTATGCTCCATTGGGAGTAACAGGCGTAAGTAAGTAAGTAAGTCTCTTGGCAGTTTGGATATCCTCGAAGATATAACCAACAATATGGTGAGAGTTTCAGCAATTAAGCCCATCAAGGTTTCATTATTCTAGGACAAATGTGGTCAGGATCACCAAACCTTTCTAGTTTGAGATGTTGGAGTAATAATATGATAGTTCCTTTATCTATAACCTCAGGCTTCATCAACAAGTTGTCATTATCATGATTAATTATTGGTTTTTCACTATCTTCTAAGGGAAACACTTTACTAAAATTTTCTAATCAGGCCTCAGGTTTTGCAACATCATTTCTTTCTAGTGTCAACGAGCTTTCTTGTACCTAAACTTGAGAGATCTCATAACTTCTCTCAATTCACATCTTCATACGCTAGAACAACGTTTTTGGACTATTCTCACAATTCAAAACCAATTATTTTTCATGTAAATGTCTACCCTTACGTACTAATGCTTTGCAGGCCTTTCTAGCTCGACCATGAATGTTTCTATGCTGCTCGAAGCCCTAATATGCGAACATAATCCAATACTTCTTCCTACGTTTAACAAAATTCGTGGCGAACAGTCATTCCATTTACTTGTAACTTAGCATGGTAAATACGAGGACGTGACTAAATGAAGCATATCTTTAAATGTAGACCATGTTTCTTAAGGTGATGACCTGGTATTTGTTGAACAGTCTGTTGCTGCAACGCACTTCTGAATGGCTGGTATGTTTTCTCTATAAAATTGAGCGGGATTTACCCAGATCACATATTACGTTACGAGCTGTAGACATGGATGACAAAGTAGAATAATCGTTATTCGCCAAAGTTGGGTGATTATTTAGATATACATTATACGCGGTCACATGATCGATTAATAAGTCGAGCGAAGGAGATCCCTGTTTTGAACCAAAAAGTATGGATCGGGGTAATGTTGTACTAAAGCATGCTCCATCACCGTCATGAAGAGCTTATTATTGAAAGAGCTTACAGATTCTACCGTGTCCATCTATATCCAAGTAATATCGAATGCATTGAAACCTCTTAATATCAGGCATCTATTATTTTTACTTAGCTCAATGCGCTTTAAAACAAAGTCATCGGCTAAGCAGATTTGGCTAAGATAGATAACACCAATTATAAATGTACAACATTCAATGGTGAGCACACAGCAGATGAATTAACAGGTTCTACTATCATGAGATCCACAAACATAGGAACGGATGTTCATATTACTAGCTACATATATATGACGGCCAGATCTTTAGTGCATTTATCAATATTATATCTTAGGTATCCGGATAACTCTGGAGTCGCGTCAAAGCCATGGACTAATCGAGTCTTGGTCATAGCTACGCTGACTTGCTCGAATTCGTTCATCAGTACCCCTTGTCCAGAAAATTTACTTCTAATACTACGAGAATTTGAGTATAAAACTCCTGAGATGAACGACCTATTAATTCAGATCTTGGCAGCATCCACCTTCACTTAATGCATATGACTAGTGAGGACTAGCTAAGATTGATTTATTATACTACTGATTTAGATTTCAAGGTTATAAAGATCATAAACAAGAGAGCTCATCATGATCAACAGTGAGTACGAAGCTTGGTTCAGAAACAAACAATGGCATTTGGAGTTGTTTCTCTCTGCCACGAGGATTGACGTGAGTACCGAAATTATTTTAAAAGGATCAGATGCCGCAATTTACAGACTCCAAATAATAGGAGGTCTGTATGTACTTTCGTGTGATTTATCCTCAAATGATTCCTTATAAGGTGTGGTTTAGTATTAAAATTCACAGCTACTCTGTCAAGAAGCAGGTTATCACTAGTAATATGGTGTTTTGTCATTCTACACTGATTCATTGTATTTTTCAAAACAGGTCTTAAGTTTAATCCCTTGAGCAGGGATGAGAACATATAATTTCTAAACCTCAAACAAGTTTTGGAGCAAGTCTCTAACCATTTTGCAGGATATGAATATTTTCTGTGAAATCGTGGATACGTTTAAAGAAGTTAATTTGACCAAGTGAATTATTCACGCTATTCGGGATGGACACTGACACACAGTACTGTTTCTAGTGATTTGTAATGATCAGTCACATGTGCCCAACTTGGATGGAAGACAGATTCAAATCTTCACGCTTTATTTCAGTGTTATATTTATCTTTCATCAGTATGAAGCTATGCGAAGCTCTGTCTGCGTTCGTCTACGGCCAAGGTGCTAAATAGCCAGTCGGCAATTTCCCTCCAGTTCTAAGTAAAATATGAAGTATTAAAATAATATTACAAATTTATACCATTTTGGTTGACGTAAGGTTTGAACAAAAAAGCAGTTAATAGCTTGAATATTAAGTGAACTGGATAGAACTGTATTATATTATCACAAAAGATTAAGTTACAACACAAAATGTCTCCTTAAGGTTTGGCTGAGTTATACGGAGGTTATATTCAACTCTACTAACCATAAATACACATGTTTTTCTGTACGTTTTTGACTTTTACCCAAAAATCGCTTCTCCTACTTTCTTCTGATTTGTGAATGTTTGAGCGTTGAACAGTCGACTTCCGTCATTTGTATATTGTTTTTCTGAGTTAAC